TCACTCCTGAACTGGACACAGTGGACGTAGAGCCTTCCACATCCTCTAGTATGGTAGGATTTGAATCGGGCCTTGTATCGGACTCACCTTCTCCTCGTTCCCCGTCGACCGGTGAGCATTCCAGCCCGTCATCCATCTACAATCAGGGATCAGTGTATCAGCGGTACTCGCCCATGTCTGCTGGAGCATCGTCTCTTCCGTCCATGCCACGACCACCTATGCTGCCAACGCCTCAGTTGACGCCTCAGACGGCCATTGCTACCACTCCTGCTGCGAGTGCTAGCGCCTTCTGTGCCCGCCGGGCTTCCATCTGCGCTGCTATGTCACAAGTGCAAAATGTGTGCATGGCGCGGTCGACTCTCGATCAGCGCCCGTCACTGGCGTTTTGCCAAAAGGCTAACACGTTTGATGGATACCCGACCGTGGTTCGCAGATCGTCTCTGGCCCGATCGACGTCTTCGGCCTCATCCCCTGAATCGATGATTTCCGATGTCTCGACGCTGTCGTCGTCGAGTTTGTCATCTTGCTCTTCCGGGTCGGCCCCTGTTTCCATCCTGGGCACTAGCGCCTCTGCCAAGCCTCGCTTGGCCGTGAAGGCAACGCTTCGGTGCACCAGTAACTCACTCAAGGAAGGTCGGAAGGCTTTGGCCATCGCGTCTCCTATCGATGAGGGCCCGCTTGGTGAGATCTACAGCTCGCCTGAGACCTACTTGGGCGCAGTTGGCCAGGTCCCAGATCTATCCAATATCTCGCTGGGCACTCCTGTTGATCATGAGGCAGCTCAAAGCCTTTGTGAACTGTCGGGGGCTATTTCCCGCTCTGCACAGACGTTCGAGCAAGGAACGACTGCTCAGCGGCAATGCCGGAAACGTGGCCGCACAGGCTCCGAGGATATTCTGTGGCAGAACCATGTCCGCCACCTGATGAACCTCAATGCGCGGAACGAGGGCAAGGCTTCGGATCGTTCCGTGGGCGATACTCGTTCTGATCCAAAACATCCTCAGTCTCTCTCCGCTGCTCAACTCAGTCTCCTGGCTATTAGCGCTCCTTTGTCTGGACCAGCTGGCATGAAGCGTGCTTGCTGTGGCAGCGAAGCGAGGAAGATTGCGCTGAACCCGAGTGTGCGATCGGAGTACTTGGGCTAGCTTTTCTATGAAACGCAGCTGCCAGGCTCTTTTCTCTCTTGTCTTTTTCTTTTCTGTAGAAAGAAAAAGTGGCTTTTTAGCGTGTGGCTTAGTCCATCATATCTCTCTTTATTCCATATATGATCTCGTCGATCGAGTGACGTTCTTTTCAGGCTTCTCCGACGGCGCAGAGGTGAACAACGCAGGCAACTGGTGGGAAAAGTTCTTTGATGCAGCGAACTTTATCTCGAGTTTTTCTTTTCTGCATTTGGAGAAAACGATTTCTGAGTTGTCATGTGTATATACCCTGCTGTTGCTGGGAGTTTGAGACGGTTGTCTGCGTTGAACTCTACGTCTTCGACCTTTGTTTACCGTGGCTCTGTTGCCAGCAGATCTACTGATGTACGATGTATGCCGGGGTGGGTGCTTGTCCCTGTGAGCTACCGCTTAGTCCATCTTTTTTATCATTTATTCCTACATTTCTCTGCATCTATTGTCGGTCTTATTACACGAACGGAGTGCGGCGGGATGGGAAGGGTCTTGTTATGGTTTTATCTATATCTTTTTGTCTTCGCTTTCTTTTATTTTGTCTGATGGAGCAGCGGTTGGGAATGGTCCATCTTCCTGGCAAGGCAAGGAATGCATATCTATCTATCCTAAGTGACAACTTTGTCCTACTTACTCACCCAGAGTTTTTGCAAGTTCCCTATGTTTATTAGCCGTCAGCAGCATCCAGCGATGCACTGGACGTACCCAGGATAGCCAATCACAATGTAATCACCTAAGTACTCTATAATTCTTGGCTGACTTGTCGCGGGCGGGCCTGATCTCTTCGGCGAGAGGCGACTGCCTGATCTCGGAAGATTCGAGGGTCAGCTGTTCTGGTGCCACTGAGTGACTCACCGCATCTTGAAGCTAGGTTGAAGGGTTGAACGGATTTGAGGCTGGACCGGTGAGTCAATGCGGGTTGCAGCCTGAGGCAGCGATGAGTCAACGGGTGAAATCGGAAGACATGAATTTACTTGGGCACCTGTACCACCAACCACCGGGCACAGAGTACGGTGAAGAGTTGATGCTTTGAAGAGCAAAGAAAGAGGAAGTCCGGACATAAATTTATTTGAGATCAAAATATACAACAGCTGTGATTCACTGGTTCACCTATCCAACCTGGCGCTAAAAGCCACTGGCCCAGTGCCGCCCTCGACATCCTCCTCTGTTCTCTTACAAACTCCTTCAAGCACGTCAGGCATCAGGCACGGACATGGTTGGACCAGCGGCCGCGTTAGCCGTCCGTCGTCTCACCACAGATAGATAGTTGACGAGCAATGAGTGAACTTGAGTCACCTGGGCTGCCGAACTCACTCCCACTATAACCTGGTAACAGCGCTGGTCCGAAAATGTCCCGACGTCGGACCCAAAGGCATTGGCTGTTGGTAGTTGGAGGACGCGGGAATATAGTTTGCACAAGGTTCAGGCAATAAGCATGTGAAACATTAATCGAATATCTTGAACATACCTCGCTCTGCTGCAATGTTGGCATCCCATTTCTATTTCTGACGAAGAGTTCACCAGTCCGGAGACGGGAGCTCCTCTTAACCTTGTCCATTTGACAAGGATGACGACATTCAAGAGCTATTGCCCAGACATTGCTTAGTTCCCATTAGATTTGCAATTGAGAATCATGAGCTCCTGTCACGCCGGCCTACCCTGTGTATGGGGCAGGCTGATCATGTCCATCAGAGATGCAGTTGAAAACTGCTGATAGGCTGGATTTTAGAATCAATCATTCACTCGCTTTTCTTCGTTATACTGGCTTTAGGAAACCATACGTGTTTGCCCCCAAGGAAACCTCTCCTTCTGACTTTGCAAACGACGACACCTCTTTTTTTGAGAGGCTTGGTGGTATCGTTGTTGCTGTTGGTGTTGTTGGTGGTGGTCATCTTGGTTGTGGTCTTCTCTCCCTTAAGCTGTATAAACCACCAATATTAGTATTCATGTTCACACAGATATGATGATCACCCAGGATATCAAGATATGGTTTTATCTTTGATAAACTTACATTGAGAGTAGCAATGAGACGCAGAAGTCCTTTGATGTAGCACACGCCTTCCCCCCAGCACAGCTCATGATCTCACACGTGGTGCAGTTCTGTATTACGTTCATTGAGCAGTGATCATGAAGATCCCATAATGTTATTTGCAGCCATGTTCAGGTCTAGTCCAGCTTCGATTTCTGTTCGAGGTCATCTAGATCTTTGACTCCCAGCCGACTGGCTCGCTGGCCAAGCATGTGTCAGAGGGTATCCTCTGCATGCTGCTGGATAACCTCAGCCTCCGCATCGTTGCCATCCGATCTTTCCGCAGACTCTATCGTGTCTCCCGTATCCGCTGGGCGGGTTGCCGCCGGCAACAAAAAGGTTTCCAGCAGGTCATGAAACTGGGCGGCCAACTGCGGCAGCTCCTCGATGATGCTGTTGCACTTGATTCACCATGAGATGGAATGCTCCTGGAACAACATCCACGCCTTCTGGAATCCAGTTGGCCGTAGCAGTGAGCCCGCCCGACGACTTGAAAGAGCGTAGTATGGATGAGAGAGGGTCCCAGCAGGACCACACGACTGCACTCACTGTGGAGATTAAGCCTGTGCTCTCCACACTGGTACAAAGTCAGGAGGACAGAGACTCCAACCTCTAGCACCACAATTGGCCATTTTTGAGAACGGTCCGCCGGCGGACGGTTTGGACCCCCCGCATGGTCGAGCCCTTAGCAGTTCTCTTCTTAGACCTTGGGAGTACCTTCCACACCGTCACAATATGCTCTAAGCCCGCGGTATTGAATTTGATCTGCCCTTTCGGGCGTGCCGGTCGAAGGGAAACCCCGTCGAAAGGAATCACCAGACTGACCCCAGAGATGCGAATCGGGTGTTGGGATGTCGCGTTTGTCAAGATCACCCCGATTTCAGAGCTTCGCCGGTGACGAGGTCTGCTATGGAGGGATGCTCGGCATCTGGAGTCGCTCTATGAGGATTTGTAAGAGTACCATTATTGTGGTGGACCAACCGAAAGGGATCCGACCGATGGAGATGCAGCTCAATTGAATCTTTGCCTGAAGCATCATCTGGAGACAGTGGAGGGTCTCCACCCACATGGAACCCATGAATGCTATTGTGCCGACATCTTCCACAGCACTAGCTCGGGGTTGTTAGATGGGACGGGTATAGGAAGTAATCGAAGGATTGATCTTACCTGTCTGCTTCGCTGGACCGGAGCATAAGATCAGTTCGGTAATGCTTGAAGGGAGCTTGTATTTGATGTCAGAAGATTTTCCATATAAGGTGTGCACTGACCAGGAATGGATGTGAAGAAGGTCATATGAAGAAGAGAAAGAAAAAAGAGTATGTAGCCATTCACTATAGTACTCTGCTAGAGGAATAGACCAGTGAATCTGAAAAGTTATACACCGGTAATGGACTAGCGGTGAATATGTATTGGTTGCTCAGATGCATAATTGCTCTTTGACCTATATGTACCATGTTTCCTACTAAATCATCTAATCTAGAGAAGTAGTAGACCTGATATTTAAGAATTAAACCTTTGTATATTTTGTATAGCCGAGGTTGAGTTTGAGCCTAGCCACCTGAGGACTAGCCGGATCAGATAAGATTAAGATGGCTGGTAGTCTGTTGCTCCTCCTTCCCCTCACGCGCCTTCTGCTTTCGGTCATCTGCACAAAGCCGCGTGTTACTGACACCGCCAGGGCCATTAAAAGGGCAATCTCTTCCCTTCTACGGAGTACTCTTATCCACATCTCCGCAGACAGCCTACTTTCATAGCATCTCGCCAGCCAGCCAGTCGTTCAGGTTGTTGCTCTCGAAATCATGGGTCGTGCCACCCTTTTCTCCGCACTTGCACTTCTTGTCGGTCATGTCCTGCAAGCGACCGCTATCCCATCGGCTCTTCCGCAAGACAAGACTTTCAACCAGGTGCTCCTTAGCGATCCATACCAAGACCAATCTGTCCCATCAATACCGACAGAAGACAATGTCCAACACAGTGATGTCATCCACGTCGGGGCACCCGAGACAATGCGAGCACCATCTTGGTTCACCTCAACACTCATGGCCCGTCGCCTCCTAGCCCTGTCAACAACGGGCACCGTCTCGAGCATTTTCCCCGACCCGCTCCCCGGCAACTCCCACGCTCCCGCTTCCGTGGCCGGCCTCCCCATCAGCCTCCCAGAGTACATCGCCGACTGCGACGAATACCTCCCCGCAGACGTCAGCAACGGCGGCGACGGCAACCCGACCTTCCTTGCCCTCCGCGTCTCAACAACCTTTCGCAACACCGCCGCCGGCTCGAACATCAGCCTCGCAATCGATTGGTGGGACCACCTGAACGAGACCAGGCCCATCTCGCCCGGGTTTCCCCTTAGCGAAGCAGGTCTCCCGCGTGTCACTCTGATCGGGTACGTGGAGCCGTTTGATACGCCTGTACGTGGGGATACAGAGGCAGCGCTGGAGGAGTGCTATCTGCGCGCGCATCCGGATGCGAGTGTCTGGCTGCCAGGGAAGCCTGGGGCACCGCATTCAAGCTACTGGGCGAAGATGGTAGTGGAGCAAGTCTATTGGATCGGCGGGTTTGGAGGCTTGCAGCAGATTGGTTGGATGAATGTTACTGAGTGGAAGGGGATCCGGCGTGTGGGAAGTCTGCCTGGAGTCGGTGATGGGAGGGGATGGGAAGATGTGAGACTTCCTGGGGAGATGGAGTAATCCGTGATCTTTACGTGTTTCAATATGCCATATGAAGCGACCAGAACCGGTGAACAAGAATGTAAAGCTTAAGATTAAGATGAACGGGGTCACACTGGTAACGACACTAGTATCAGGTCAATGGTTGGCCACTACACTTAAGAGTCGTAGTATCCTATTTTCATATGCTGGTAGCATTCGGTAACTTGATCCTTTCAATCCTGAGCCACTATTTGGTGGATTACTCCGGCGCGCAGTACATGAGTTAAATGATCCCCCCATTGCTTTTCCTGAAGCTCCTCGAAGGGCTTATCCTCTTTAGTGAAGATAAGGACAGTCTAATAATGACCCAGATTATCCTGCCATCAACACTGCCAGAATGATGGCTCTAGCTACTTATCAACCACAAGGGCGCGAAGTGATTTGCAGGAATCGCCACACGCTATTCTCTCTTACAGACCAGACAGGATTCTTATCAGACTTTGATGGCGTTACACTGGAGGAAAATTTCGCCAATGAGATGGTGAACTGATAAGTCGTCGGTGCGCTTGGCCTGCAGGGATTCAGCTGGCTTATCAGCAGGGCGAGTTGGCTTATCTTGAGGAGTAAGTCATGGCCTTAGTGATCGGGATAGATAGATATATAGGTAGGCTCCTCTGTTCAAAAACCTGGGGATTAGTGAATCGACGACATTGGCTTTGTTTCCCAGATAGACAAGCGACATCAACGGAGGGTAGTGTATGGATGGTGACGCAGAGCACTTTTGACGTTGCATCACCCCTCCCTTGTCGAGCCATCTGCATGCAAACAGAATTGCTTTTTCTCTTTTAAAGCTCTCCTAATTTGATTTTAACCCTGTGCTCCACATGATCTCTTGTTGAACATTTGTTAGTCTCACAGTAATACTCCGCCGTCCCAGATGATATTCAGACGACCCCGTCTCCGCGTCACCCAGCCCAAGTCGGCTTTCGCAGAGGGAAATGCCCGCTGGACAAACCTCGATCTCGATCCTGTCCCTCGTCACCGTCGAAAATGGGGTCCATTGAGTTTTGTCGGTGAGATACCGCCGATTCACTTTTTGGGTCTTGGATATTGACTCTGGCCATAGCGTACTGGATCTCCGATGCCTTCAACGCCGCAACATGGCAGTTCGCCAGTAGCATCATCGCTGTCGGGCTGAGCTGGCGCGAGTCTCTCGCCATCGTGGCCATCTCCTTTTTCATCATTTCCTTCGTAATTGCCGCCAATGGCGCCGTCGGCGCCATCTACCACATCCCGTTTCCCGTCATCGCGCGCGCGAGCTGGGGCTTCTGGGGCTCCTACGTCGCCATCATTTCTCGCGTGATCCTGGCGATCTTCTGGTTTGCGATACAGAATGTCAACGGGGGCAATGCCGTGCGGTGCATGGTCGGCGCCATCTGGCCGAGCTTCCTGACGTTGAAGAATGACATCCCCCAGGACGAGGGCATCACGACCACCGGCATGGTGGGGTACCTAATCTTTTTTATTGTGCAGTTCCCGTTCCTGTGCATCCACCCGAATAAAGTTCGGTGGCTGTTTGTCGCCAAATCGATCATCGTGCCCATTGCGTGGCTGGCGATTCTCGTCTGGGCGTTCGTGGCCGAGGGCGGCGGAGCGATCTTTGACCAGAAGTCCACGGTGTCTGGGTCCAAGTATAGCTGGCTGTTCCTGGCGAATATGACTTCTGTACTGGGAAACTATGCCACGCTCAGCGTGAATCAGGTATGTGATGCATCCCAGAGGTAACACCGATATGCTGACCGACAAAGTCCGACTTCTCTCGATACTCCCGCGTCAGCCCCAAATGGCAGCTTCTCTACATCCCCATGCTCCCCATCGTCTTCACCTTCATCTCCTTCATCGGCATCGCAGCCTCCTCCGCCGGCCAGTCGCGCTACGGAGGCGATATCCCCTGGGACCCGATCGTGCTGATCAGCCACTGGACCAGCCGCGCCTGCCGCTTCTTCGCCGCGTTTTCCTTCGCCCTCGCCTCCCTGGGCGTCAACATCTCCGCCAACTCCATCTCCGCCGCCAACGACCTGACCGCGCTCGCACCGCAGTACATCAACCTGCGCCGCGGGCAGATCATCTGTGCGATTCTGTCGTGGTGCCTCGTCCCCTGGAAGATCCTCGCGTCCGCGGGAAGCTTCCTGAACTTCATGTCCGCGTACGCCATCTTCCTCGGCCCCATCGGCGCAATCATGCTCTGGGACTTTTGGCTCGTCAAGCGGCGGAAGTACGATACCCTGGCGCTGTATCAGCCCTCGAACCAGACGTATCGGTATTCCGCGTGGGGGACAAACTGGCGCGCCCTCGTCGCGTTCCTGGTTGGCGTGGCGCCGAATCTACCTGGTTTGATCGCGTCTGTAAACAGTAGCATTGATGTTGGGGTCGGCATCCATCCGTATCAGTTTGGGTGGCTGTTGGGGTTTGTGGGGACGAGTATCGTCTATGTGGGTCTGTCGCTGTGGTTCCCGGCAAGGGAGAGCTTGATTGAGCGGGCTGTGCTGGCGGATGAGATTTACGATAGCAGGGGAACGGTGGAGGGGGTTGATGCGGGTTCGGAGGAGGTATTGGGCGAGGGCGGAGGCGATGGGAGCAGGGAAGAGAAGATGCTCGGGTTGAAGGACGGGACATTAGAGAAACGAATCTGATGTAGTTCCATTCGCTTGTCTATATAGCAACAGTCTGATATGACATCCTGATCCCTGATCCTGACCTTGACTCGCTGAGTAGGTCACCGACAGGAGTGGTATTACCCGCAGTGTTCGAGGCGTGTCCTACCTGGAGACACAGGCCCAGTGTGATAGTCATTCCTTTCCTATGACTGTACTGTCCATCGGGTTTGAAGTGATCATCGCAGCAGAGCATAGCCGCTTCAGATGATTAGATCGTCAGTGTCAGAACTTTCCGACCCTGCTTGATATGTGAGATGCATAGAAGTATCCACCGCTTCTAGGGCCAAAGGACTCTCACGCCCCCGGCCCATACGCAATCGCCTCCTTAAGCACCTTACTCACACCCGCCGAAGCCCTTCCCACCTCCCCTCCCTCACTGCGCGCACCCTCCAAGCCACGCTGTACAGCCCCCAGAAACCGATTTTCAAAAACGCGGTACCGATCCTCGCGCGTCTCGTACATCTCCCCTTCCTCGTCGCGAGGCTGCCCAAACAGATTTAAATGCGCAAACGGCGCCGTCGCCTGCGGAACCATATGCAGCGCCGCATGACACAGCGGGAACTCCCAACAGGATACCCCCGTCGCACTATTCTCGTCGGAAGAATCATCCATCCCGTCGTCGGGCCGCCCGATCCCCGCCTGCAGGAACACCGCCAGCGCGGCCAACACCTTAACCATCGGCTGGCCCTTAGAGCCTGACTTGCCGAACGAAGCCCGATTCCCGGACCACTTGGACGACTCCTCCGTGTGCCAGCCCAGCACAGACAGGAAACAGTTCAGCGTCTTGATCCACCCCCCGGCGCAGGAGACGACCTCGGCCCCTGCAACGTCCACCAGCCAGGACAGCACCTCGACGGCCGAGACGCGAATGTCGGCTGCGAGGTGGGTCATGCCTGCGCGGATGTAGGGCAGGAGTTGCGGGACGTGGTCCTGGATGTCGTTGGCTGGCAGCGCGCGCAGGAGCTTGAGGAGCTGTGTGCGGACGCTGGAGCTTGCGTCTAGGATCAGGGGGAGGAGGGTGGGGAGGAGGACGCTTACGGGCTGGGGGAGGGGGGAGTCTACTGGTCTTGAGATGAAGGAGGTGGTCAGGTGCGCGAGCGAGTCGCGGCGCTGGGTGTCGGATTTGGAAGAAAGCAAAGAGACGTGGTGAGTGAATTGGGCGTCTGCTGAGGGGGCGGTGATGTGCAGGGATTGTTGGTTGAGGGTGATGGCTGTCATAGAATATTAGCATGGAACCTCCATCTCCATATACATGTCGGAGTCAGCTGCGTACTTTTGGCTCTGAAACTTGTGTCGGTGAAATTGTCAGGCTTTGCCTTGGTTTTGCCGACTTTCAGTTTGGTTTTCTGGGCTGCGTTAGTAATGTTCTGGTGCAGGGTTTATCGCATGACTTACCTGAAAATCCTGCTTCTTTTCCTTCTTCCTTTTCGTGCTGGCCCCCATGATGACAGAGCCCGGGAATATAGGCTGTTGGTGCTAAGATATGAATGCTTCGATGGGGAGACGTTCCAGAATGAAAGCCGAGATACCCAATTTTACTCTCCGCTTGAACCACGCACAAAGTCTCGATTTCGAGTTTACTATGCGGTAAGTATCCCGCTCTGAGCGTAGAAGAATCCAAGTCTCGTTTAAAAAAAATATATAAATCTGCTGATGGGGACGTCAACGTCCATAGACCTTTCGAGATATCTTCATCCCCAATCTGATTTTTTGATGCGAGTCACGTGGGAACACGTGATTGTCGCCTGAGGCAGCATTTCACTTTGCGGAAAAGCGCAGACGGATGATAGACATTCATATGCCCTGCAGTAGAAGCAATGATATACTGTGATCTGAAGATCCTAGAAACACTGCGATCATGATTCGACCCTTTTTCGTAGACAATGGCGTACATTTGCTACCAGCCAAGCACTACAGTAGCAACTCACATGCGGCCGGCCACTCTTTCCCCTGAAAGTCATGTTGACCTGTCATTTCTCTCCAATCAGAGGCTGGACCTTGCAGTGGTTGCTTTGCTTGTTTTCCTTGTGAGCTCCCAATCATATTCGTCGGCGTAACCTCATGGTTCGCTATGAGTGGACCTTGGCCGATCCAAGAATGGGAGGACGCGAGGGAGATACTGATGATCATCATTATTTTACCACAAGGCTTAAGCCATTATTTCTACTCCTATATCAATACTATATCCTTCCTCAGCATGGCCTATGTGGCACGATGTCCCTTGACAGCTTCTTCCAGGGACAAATAACAGCAAGATGGTCTTCAACGGGCTCCTCCGCTTCCGGATCATCCGCTCTAAACAGATCAAGGAGATCGCCCTGAGCGGGGATCATGGTCAGTCGCAGCTCGTCGAGGAACAAACTCTTCTCACCATCCAGCAGCTTCCACCATGGTACGACTCCAACCCGTTCATCCATTCAGGATACCGTCCCGAGAGCCGATCCTACCATCGCTCCTTCGCCAGTTGGCTCTACTGCCACAACGAAACGGGAAACATCTACTCGCACCTAATCCCCGGCATCTTATTGCTTTCGTCCCAGGGCATTCTGTACGAGTACATCCGCACAAAGCATGAGAACCTCTCCAACTTCGACTGGTCTATCGTCTCGCTGCAGCTTCTCACGGCCTCAATATGCCTCCTCACATCGACGACGTACCACACCCTGTTGAACCACTCCGCTGCCGTCGCGCACCGTTGGCTCCAGCTCGACTATATCGGGATCATCGCGCTCATTCTGGGCGCCTTTATCAGTGGACTGCATTTCGGGTTCTATTGTAACCCGCAACTGAAATACTTTTACTGGTCGCTTGTCAGTGTCCTGCTCATAGTATAAGCACAATTGCGGACTCAATGCTGATATGGACGCCTGCAGATCCTGGCCTTCAGCTCCGCAACCGCTGTGGCCCTCCTCAGTCCGCAGTTCAGGGGCCCCGAGTGGCGATCGTTCCGCCTGGCCAGCTTCATCTGTACCGGTCTCTCGGCGTTTGCACCAATCGGCCATGCATGCGTGCTTTGGGGTGAGTCCTATCTCTGGAAGATAGGCGTGCAGTATTACCTGCTCGAAGGGTTGTTTCTGATTATCGGTTGCTACTTTTGGGAGGTAGGCTTCTTTCAATTGTATCCCGAAGGGAAAGATTGCTGACGCATTGCAGAGGAGAGTTCCTGAGCGCCTGTACCCGGGTGCATTCGATATATGGGGCCACTCGCATACGATATGGCATGTCTTTGTGACCTTTTCGATTGGAGCTCATGTCATGGGACTGCTGCATGCCCTGGAGTATAGCTATAGCCAAGGACAGTGTCGGTGATTCCCTTCACAATACTTAAACAAGAATGAAATTTGCATATTGCGCACTTTTAGCAAGTCATATATCTCCCTCGTCCAGATACCCGTGATCAAACCCAGCCATCTCAACTGGTTCCTACAGCCATTAGCAACCGTAACATCTCCCAAAGAGAAGAAAAACGTACCCCGCGACCCACCCCCCAACGCCCTCGCAACAGCCTCCTGCGCAGCCTGCAACACCCCCTTCCCCTCTTCCTCCTTCTCCCGATCCCGCCGTCTATCCCCTCCTCCTTCAACAGAAGCCTCCCACTCCCCAGCCCGCATCCCCGTCGGCGTATCCGACAACAACCTCGTCGTGCTCTTGTTATCGCCTGCAACCAATCAATATCAATTCCGCCATCGGGCAAACCTGAAACCCCAGGGATAGGGAGTACAGACCGGGCTGCATCGCCTCGGCGATTTTCTCCGCGACACTACTGCCCGATTCCCTGGTGTGGTCTGCGTAGGACTGGGATGGGTTGTGGAGGGTGGGCGTGATGGGGTCGGTGGCTTCTTCTATCCGTGTCATACCACTGAATTAGATATGCCGGAGGAAATAAAGGGGACAGGACTGTTACCCTCGTAGGAAGAGCGATTGTCGCCCTGGTGTGTTTGTATTAGTGTTGGTATTTGTCAATGGATGTGTGTTCCTCGGGGTGGGGAAGACGTACTGCCATTCCGGACATGGTGAGTAGACTTGTTTATACGATGGGCTGGGATTTGGTTGGATGATATTGATGCTTGTTTGATACCTAAGGGAGCATGCAATATATGATTGTAGAGGTACATATGTGCTCAAGATAGTGATGTCATGACCACGCAGGCGTACGCGAGTAAGGGTGACTTCATAGTCGGGCATGCACTCCCATGGAAAGGCTACATTTCTGCGAGGTGAATGAGGAATCGCGTATATTGACCGATGCAAAGCTCGGCATAGTCTATCTAATTAAGAATAACCTTACGAACCATCAGACAGGAAAGTGAAACAATCAAACAGAGATGCGCACTTCTGCCCGGCCCCAAGTCTCGAGAACATGCAACGAAACCGAAAACAGAACAAAGAGACACAAGACACAAAAGACTGGGGTCCGGACAGACGCGATTGTATCAAGCAACTGAAATCATCAAATCAACATAAAAACGTAGACAAGCTTGGTGTATCCAATCTCCCGGTCCTACACAGCCGACGAGAGGCTGATCTGGCTGCGGCGTGCCACTGAGATCGAGGCTTGGAGGATGCATCGTATTAAAGATGTATCGCGCTCGCCCACAAGAGGCCACATCAACCAAAGGAAAGAGGCATCGCATCACTCATATCAACCATTAAGATACCAGCCACCATGCCTGACGAACCAGGTTGCTGCGCCCTCTGTCGTAAGATAGTCGTAAATCTTTGAATCATGAGGTGCAGTCAATCAGTCAAGCCGCGGTCAACACTCCCAAACACCTTGTCGTCTAGCGAGTAACTCCCCCCACTATCTTGTTGATCTCAGATTTGAGCGTAATTCATCACGTCTATTAAGTCATGTGTAAAGGAGAAATAGCTGAGCAGTACCGTCCGAGCGGGATGAAAAAACGATGAAAGAAATAAACGGCGACAAGTCTTGAAGCGCTTAGCTACAAACTCATGGTCAACCACTCCCATTCCTGGCTTGCACCCTGACCACCAGCAATGCTATGATTGGCCGGGTTCACCGCTGCCGGAGGCATGGCAGGTGCTAATGGAACTACCTTGGACCGGCCGCCAGACGTAGTGCTGGGCTTGTTGCTGTCGTCAGCCCCCTCCGTCTCACTGGCTTTCTCCAAACGCCGTTGGCGCTTGGGGGCCACCTGAACGGTGCTACGGCTCTGTCCAGCGCTCGTAGAAGGAGTAGCCTTGGGTGGTGCTGCCGCGATGGGGACCACACCAGATTTCCCCATCGCAGCTGCGGTCCTGCTAGCGGCCGAGGCCGCACCTCCAGGAACGGCTGGTGGAGACTCGGATGTAGTGCCACTCTGTGCGCGGCTCGATGTAGGTGTCGTCATGGAGACCTGCGCAATGGAGTTCTTGCGAGAGGACTTCTTGGACGAACGTGACGCGCCCACAGCAAGACTGTTGGCGCTACTGCGGTTTCGCTTCTTGATGACGTCGGTCTTCAGGGATAGTGGACGGACCACTCCATGCAGTTTGAGGAACAGACCGCAGGCGTTACAGAGGGGTTGACCCTCGGGATTACGGCGCCACAGTGGGGTAGTCTGAGTGAAGCAGTTGGTACAGGTGGTTGGCCCATTGCTCTGATCGCCGTTCTTAGAGCCACCAGGGCTCGCCGGCCGGGACGGAACAGCACTGCTGAGTCCCGATTCCGGAGGGGTGTTCGGCGATGTGTGGGAAGTATTGTTCATGCTCTGGCGCAGCAGCTGGTTGGTGTTAGGCGTCGACGTGGTACGAGCAATCTTCTGACGACGAGGGTCCTGCTCGCGGTTGCGCACTTCACTGACCGAGGCAGCGGATCCGTGGGTGCGGCCAAGACTGCCGCCTTGGTTCCACTCGCTGGGAGTGTCCATCATGTCTGCCGAGCCGATCGTGACATGTTTCCGGTGCTGCGCGCTGAATCCAGACAGTGAGTGGAAAGATCCAGGGAACTGACCGTCCCAGTGCAAGCCGTTCATGTCGCCAGCGTTGTCATCACCAAAGTCTGCGGGCATAGCCAGGCCTGCGCGCTCGGAGTAGTTGTTGCCATCATCATCTTCGTTGTCAGAATCCGCACCGAATGAGAATATGCCGGCATGAGAGTTGGACGTAGGGAAATCGCTTGGATTTAACACCTGCGTCGGGTCGACGTGTTGCGACTGAGGGATAGTATAGTTCGGGGAATGAACAGCAGATGACGAGTTGCTGGCGTGGGTCATCGCGTGCTGCTGCTCGCTACCGGTGTTGTTGTTAAACATGTACCGCGGCTGCAGTGAAGCGGACAAGTTCGAACGGTGGGTAATGTAGTTGGGAATACGCCGTTGAGTCCGAGCATCAATCGAAGGCATATCGAAATACATGGAGTGATCTCCATCGTATGTGGGCTGAGGTGTCGATACGGACGACTGGTATCCCGACGGAGGAGGAGAAAAGAATTCGGTCGAATTAAGCGACGAGGCAATAGGGGTCTGCGCATACACGTTCGCAAACGGGTTGGCTGATGTCATGGGAGAGTCGCTGGGAGAGAAAGTAAAGTGCGCCTGGTAAGGACCGGCCGACGACAGAATCGGGTCTTCGCCCAAGCTGAAAGTGTCCAATCCGAAGGGGACGGCAGGGGACGTAAGGTTATTGTTGTGGTGGTGGTTTTGAGTATTATGGTCGAGAGCAAATCCAGAGGACGCATTATCAAGGGTGTAATCAGGAACACCGGCCGAGAAATGGGGATCCTGAGCCAGGATGGCGTTTGACACGGGCGGCACCTGCGGAGAGGACTCGGCTGGCCGCTTGCGAGTGGGAATCTGGAGATTGAAGAATTGACGCTCATCGATGCTTGTCTTGCGCACGCGGCGGGGCACGTAGCCAAACTCGTTGTTTCTGCGCTGGTCCTGAGGTGGGTGAGGGAAGGAGGCTGGCACGGGAGTGGAATCGGCCGATTGGTCCTTGCGGGACTTGATGGGGATCGCCATGGATGAGGTCGCCGCTTTATCTGCTGGAGGTGACCGAGGGCGATCGGCTGGCGACTCAATAGGAACGATGAAGTCGTCGATGTTCATGGGATCGGAGGCAAGATCGGTGGACGTTGATGGCCGTTCAAAAGAAGGGCGGTCGGACTGACGGAGTTGGGCAATACCGCTCGGCCCCGAGCTGCCACTGTTCTTCATCGAAGGACTATATCGTGAAAGAGAGTAAGATGAGTTCACCATGACTTTAAAGAAGCGCGACTGTCCAAAGCATCCGAATCACCAGAAACATACCGATTCAGCTGAAGCCTTTCACGTTCCTTACGTTTCAAACTCATAGCCATCATGCGCCACGTGAGATTTTCCATGCGCTCCTGGTTGGGTAACTGAGCTTTTGTTCTAGAATAGAGCTTCCATATCTGAGTAGCCAGTGGATCATTCCGTTGCATCTCATCTGGGCTTTCTACCCCGTGTCGGGGAGCAGCGTTCCTCCACTCGGGAAAGAGAGAGTCTTGGAGCAAACCGTCCTGGACATGAGCGGAGTCTGGTGGACTGAGGGGAGAACCAAGGGAGAAATCGTCGGACAACTGGGAGGTGTGGTGGAAGTGGGAAGAGGATGATCGGTCAGCGTCGGCGATGTCGTAACCAGAGGAGGCGGAGACAGCGGATGGAGTCGGTCGCGCTGCTTTAGGCGCTCCTCCATGGCTCATCCCCGACATTATCCCGTCGTGACAGGGTTAAATGCACCCTGTCGTCTCCTTATTGGTATAAGGAATGCAAACCGATGAAGAGATAAGCAGACTGAGTAGGGAAATAGATCGCACGGTGGACGAAGAGAGCACGACAGATAAGAGAGAGAGCTGCGAGATTCCAAGGGAAGCAACCGGAGGAGGACAGAGCGAACGCACTGAGGGGAGGGGAAATAATTGTGCGTCTCGTCGATTGGAGGAAGCACGAGGAATTCCACTCTACCCGCCGTAAACGACAAAACCCGAGACCCTGGTCGCAGGTATTGATTTGTCGATCGGCTGCCAGATATTCTAGGTGCAGAAAGCCGATTAGTGCTTTATTTGGCTAGGGTCTGGCCGACGTCGATGACAACGCAGTATGAAGGTTGTTCGTTGGAACGAGCAGCAGCGGCGGCCTGTGAAGATGGATCGGCTGAACTAGTCGCAGTACCTAGTAATATGAGTAAGACGAGCTACGCCATTGGGAATGAAGGATCAAAAGTCCTGAAGTCCGAACGATGCATGGGTTTGAAAAAGAAAAAGCAAAAAGAAAAAGCAATAGCAAGGAAAATGTCAGTGCTCAATAAGCAGCTTACCTTGATCACGAGTGCAAGTACTTTTGCCCTCTTTTGTCTATGTATGATTCTTCTTTCTTCTTGGTCAACTGTGTCCGATTGGTTTATGAAAGACAGATGATTTGTTCTCTTGTGATTCTTGCTTGTAATCGCCTAGAGGCAGGAGGCTAGACCCTTCAGACACACATGGCCAGGGCAGAATTAAGGTATGCGGATAAAAATGAAGGAGGGTAAGCAGGCTCGAAGCACGGAGCAAGACAAGAAGAAAAAAAGCAAGGAATGAGTCAAAAAAAGAGGACGAGCAGAAACCCCGGACAGCCAGTCCAAGCGCCCGATGAGTTAGGAGGAGGGAGGAAGGATTCAAGTGATGAATCAAAGAAAAGGTTAAATGAAAAGCGGATTGCAAGAGGATGATGCGAAGGGGAAGAAGGATGGATGGTCGACGGAAGAGGAGGGGAACGATGAAGATGGATGACGAGGGTGGAGGAACTTACGGTGGACTTGGGGTCTTGGGCTTGGTTTGCTACACAGTCACTCTCCAGATCCTGGGGACTGAGGTAACTGATCTGTCTTGAGATTTTCCTACTTTCCGCCGTAAGAAAGAAGAAATCACAAGAGAACCCAACCCCGGGCGGTGCAGAAGCATAATACCTTCTTATTATGCATCTGGTACTTCATGATTCTTATATAGATCATACCATGTTGCTAAGACCGAGCGTCTACGAGCGCAAGACCATTTACACCATGCATATCCATGTGCTTCAGTGGGTTTGGTTTGGCTATTAAAGGTAATTTTCATCAATCTGTCGCTCCATCCTTGTAACCTTGAATCTCCCCACTTACAGCGAACTCAATCTTCAATTGAATTCAAGCTACATCCATCTATCCCTCACATTGCCTTCAACCTTCTCCTCACTAAGAAAGTATGCGCTGTTTTGTCTTTCTAATTATTCCATTTTTTTTTCCGGTTCGAATAGCACTAAACAAGCAGCGGAACTTCACGATCGCTTTCATATGATGAACCGCAGGCTTACGCTGGTATTACCAGTACCAGTAATTTCGGGTCTAAGCCGGAGTTTAGCCTTTCTCATTTTCCTTTTTAAACTTTGGCCCAAGGATGTTCTCGAAGGAAGCCGTTCCTGCAACACAGTCAATTGATGTGATCTTGAATTACCTTGGCCTACGGAGTACTTAATACCTCAAGAATTACTGCTGAGGCATTTACCTTATAGTTCGTCTTGCATCTTCCTGGGATGTACAAAGATGAATGTGTCTCACGGCAGGAGTAAATAAAACCAACGCAGAGAAAGAAAGTAGAGAGCATCTCTTGAAACGGAAATAATCCGTCCCATTGAACTACTAACGGCTAAAAGGTATTAACCAGCCTCCGCCCCCCATTTGACCCAATCATGATACTCAGCCACTTATTTTCTCCAAGCCACCAGGGATCTAATCATCTAACATGCTTCCGAGGCTGATCCTACCAGAGTGTTGAAAGTAATCTGATTCGTGCGTGGATAATTCCGGTCTTACACCCCTGTATGATTACAAAGTCCCGCCCGCTTGCAATTAATATTGTTCTGCACTTGCTGAGTAGATACGCCGTAATTGTAGATAATGACATCCAGGCAAGCCCCCTATCAGTCTAAACTTGCTACTGCAAGCCCGCGAGTCAAGATCTAGGTCAGTGCTGCGGGCCGGCATTACGTCCAGCTCTAGATCTATATTCCCTCCAATGAGATTCTGCAAGAATCACTGATCAGGTCCAGAGTATAATACCAGTGTCTCTTCAGTTGTAGGGCTAGATGTAGGGTTAGAACGGCCGACCCCTTTGGTTTCTGGCCGATGATGCATGGTATGGGTTGCTGAGGAACAGGTACAGATCAACAAAATTCGCCATTCATCTCATTGCGAAGTCATTGCTGTTGGTGATCCAGCATACTATCAGCTGTACGCATAAGCAAGAACGAGGGTGTTCGGCCGAGAACGGAGCATCTGAGAATTCTCAGACTATCCGGGGAGTAGCAAGAATGGGATATATTGTTAGTATGCAGCGAAACGTCAAGCTAAGAAGAGACTATCAGAAATCAGTATCAGAGCTCCTACGGGAGTACTACGGAGTGCTCCGTAGTCAATGCACCCTCTGCTCTGCATGACAGAAGACGCCATCCGCGTTCGCACCTCGTCCCTGGCTTAGCGCCGCAGAGGCTTGACTGAGAGATCCATTCGGGCCGATTTGGGCCTCGTTGGGTACCGTGTCCTTTCTCGAGTCCGAGAAAACAGTAAGTGAGAACTTCAAACTGTGGCTTCACAAGCTGGTGCTCCGCTCATCGGCCAGGAACACCGCACCATGAGCTACCATAAAGCCAAAAATCCACATTACTCCGTATATAGGAGTGAGTCCCTCGGCGGGGTGGGACTCGAGGTCGAACTGTCGGGCATCCCGCCTGGACCGGACACGTCCCGAAATTAGATAGCACACTAAGCATGATTTAAATGGCTTGGAACCGGAACAAATCGTTGACTCCGATCTTGAGAGTCAGAGGGTCAGACAAGACTATTGCCGACATGGCTGAGCGACATCTCTAAGCTCGTTTGCCGTTCTCGCCCGAGTCTCGGCTGCTATCAGTTCGGAGGGGGAATCCCGGGATTGCTTTGATCTGAAGAGATGCTAAGAGGTAGGTTAATTTGAGGATACTACTCCGGCTCCTGCCAGACGATAGAAGGCAGTAGCAATAGTAGAGGATCTAGAGGCTCGAGAGGCGCATTGGGAATTGAACCTCACCGGGGTTACCAAAATTCCTATTTTACCCGAGGTTTGGTATAGATCGGGTAATGAAGCGGCGTATGGTAAGGCTCGTCACCACATTTCAGAGACAGGCACTGGCGAATGACGGGTCCAGCTGGAGCATCTACAGACGTGCCTTCTTGCCCGAGTTAGTATGTACCAGCAGTAGAAGCCACAAGCCAATCCATCGGTGATTCAGACTCTCGGATTAATTGGTGCTGGTCCCCGCCGTTGAGCCGATTCTCTTATTGCGGGGTCTCGGCCACTTCTCCATTTGGTTTCAATGGCTACACATCATCATTGAATGGATACGATCGGTGCTCAATTTGTTCATCTTTCTCAAACGCGATGCAATGTCCCTCAGCTGGAAAGTATGAATCAGGCAATGGTCGATCGCGTGGATGCGATCATCGGGGAGGAGGGGAAGCCAGGACAGTGATGTGCATCCTTTCCTCCTCGAGCAGTGGTCCATTCCTGTCGCTCGATTAGTAAAGTATGGATTAGTAGTCCTTATGCAGTCAGCGGCAAATGATAGCAAGCACGGTACAAAGTACGGCTCCAGCTCTTGCCATTGAGCGCTGGAAAAAGAAGCTATCAAACTTGGACCCGAGCGCAAATTTCCAGGGCGGCATACGCCTCGCGCATATCGACAAGCCGAGCCTAAGTGTAGCTGACTCGATTTGCAGGTAATAGCAAACCCGCTAATCATTCCATATGGCCAGTAACAATAAGAATGTTAACAGGCAGATATGCAATGTCGTCGTGTGGATACAATATCCTGTTCTCGGCCCCACGCGATGGACAACGAGGGCAGGACTCCACCAGCACTAGCGTCTGATAAAGATAGAGATATCGTGCATCCCACGCCGGAACCAAGATAAGCCAAGATAATGCTGATAAGACCAGAACAAAGTAATTAGCCTTGGTCATTCCGTGACCAATAGGACCATCAGATATCGCCGATCGGGACGAATCGCAGTCGACGCAATTCCTATGTCAGTTTCTTCTAGCTGTCAGCCTGCCTTGGAACAAAGGACTCCGGATACTTACATCACCTGTAAAATGGTAACTGGCTTCGCTCGTAAGTCGTGGCAAAGAACGCGCGACAACTTGCTAGGCCAAGAGGGGTTTGTCAGTGACAGCTAAATGAAAGTGGGTGCGTGGCGCATGAGCAGCCAGTGAGAGACTGTATGCGACACTAGTCACTGCTTCCCAATGCTGACGAACCGAGGTGATACTTGCTGATCACCAATGATCCATTGTATGAGGAGTATGAGGATTATTGCTTTCCGGCAGGGGGCCCTTGGTTGACGGATAGCAATTTATCCTGGTTGAATGCATTTTGGGAGCTTCCAAGGGTAACGAAGAAGAACGATGGGGAAACCAAATGATTGATCAAATGCAATATAGCCGACCGACCAAGGTATTGTCGCGTGCTTTGCAACTAAATGAGGGCTGATAGGCCGACAGTAACGATGATCCCGTTTGAGTTCTGGACCAGGTGGGCGGAGAATCGTAGGAGAATTCCTGGAGAAATCAAAACAGTGGTGGCAACAGCAGATCCAGCCGTGTATGCAGCGATAGCCAATACTGGACACTTGGGACCGGCAAGCATAACGACGATCGAC